CTGCCTCAGCCTCCCAAGTAGCTGGGACCACAGGCACCCGCCACAACGCCTGGCTATTTTTTGGTTGCAGCCGTTGTTGTTTGGCAGGCCGGGGCTGGATTCGAACCCGCCACCTTAGGTGTATGTGGCTGGCGCCTTAGCCGCTTAAGCCACAGGCACCGAGCCATTTTTAGTGATTTTTACTTGTATTTGTCTATCTCCTTTCCTCTGTTTGTCTTAGATCTAATTTGCTCTTATTATCCTGTTCCTATGATTCTTATTATAGACAGTTTCTCACCCACCCCCATCATTCTCTTCCTCCTCCTTTCTACCTCACCTTATTCTGGATTTTTAAAATATAAACTTAGATTATGGTGAGTTCTTTTCTAATATAAATATTAAGTACTATAAAATTGCCTCTCAGCATTGCTTTAGCTACATCACCTAATCATTGATATTACTGTGTTTTCTTTTCTTTCAATTAAAAATATTTTCTTCCCTTTTTTTTTCTATCATCGCTTTTGACTTATCAAAAGATTTTCTAGCCAGGGAAATCTTATAGGTTCACACCTATAATCCTAGCACTATGGGAGGCCAAGTTGGGTGGATTACTTGAAACCAGCTGGAGCCAGAGCAAGATCCTGACTCTAAAAAAAAAAACAATAACCAGGTTTGTGGCAAACACCTATAGTCCATGCTATTGGGAGACTGAGGCAAGAGGATCACTTGGAGTCCAAGAGTTTGAGGTTACTGTGAGCTACAGTACCACAGCATTCTACCAAGGCAACAGACTCTGTCTCAAAAAAAAAAGAAAAAGATTTTCTAAGATCCCTTATAATATTTTTCTCTGAAGTTACAGGCTTTTTAGCACCATTTTATTTAATTTCTAAAGATTTGAAGATTTTCCAAATATACTCCTGTTATTGATTTTTAGTTTAATTCCATTATGCTCACAGAACATAATTTGTGAGATTTCAGTTATTCCTCAGAGATTTATTTTATGGCCCTGCATGGTCTCTCTTGGGAAATGTTTTATGAGTATGAACATAACACATATTCTGGTGAATTTTCTATAAATATCAATTAAGTCTCATTGATTGGTAGTGGTAGGCCTTCTGTATCCTTATTTTTTATTTTTTCTTGCTCTATCAATTATTAAGAAAGAAAGTTCATTTTACAATTAATTGTATTTATACATTTTTGAAAAGGAGGGTATATCTGGTTCTAGATGTATTTAAAATGGATATATTTATTTTTAATTATTTTTATAGTTATGATTAATACATTCACATTTCATTATGTTATTGATAGTATTTTTATATAGTCAAGCTAGGGTCAGATTAATTAATTCACCTATTGGCTTCCCAGTGAGTAAAACATGTGAAGTACTGTTAAAAATATATTATAAAGGCTATGCGCCTGTAGCTCAGCGGCTGGGGCACTAGCCACATACACTGGAGCTGGCAGGTTTGAATCCAGCCTGGGCCTGCCAAACAACAATGACAACTACAACCAAAAAATAGCTGGCTACTAATAGCTGGCTACTTGGGAGGCTGAGGCAAGAGAATCTCTTAAGCCTAAGAGTTTGAGGTTGCTGTGAGCTGTGATGCCACAGCACTCTACCGAGGGCAACATAGTGAGACTCTGTCTCAAAAAAAAAAAAAAATATATATATATATATATAAAAATATATATATATTATAAGGCATATTGGCCTTTGTGGTCTCAGTAAAGTACATATTATTTGTTTTGATCACAGGATTTGAAGTCAGACATATAAGGATCCAAATGTTAGCTCTTTTACTTAATATGGCTATTACATAACTCATGTAGTCTTGCCAGAATTCAGTTTTCTTATCTATGAAATGGGGTTAATAATGTTGACTACATGGAATTATTGAAAGAATCAGATGAGATGAGGGTGTGATCAGGAGGGTGTGGCAATAGATTATTGTGAGGATTAGAGATAATACATGCAAAGTATCTGGAAGAATATCTGTCACTTTGGAAGCAATAGATGGTAATAGTAGTAATAATAGTAGCAGCAATAGCAATAACAGTCATATTACTTATTGTTTTGATTTGAAATATATTAATACATATTATTGTATATCTTAATGTGTTATTATTAAATAGAATGACTTACCATTTTCTTTAAGCTTTATTAAACTTTCTTTCAATTTCTCAATTTCTAGTTGAGCATCCTTAAGTGCAGAATCTAAAAAAGAAAAAGAAATATTTGTGTAAGAAGCAACTGTAATAATCAAATTTAAATGGCTCTGTTTAGAATACTTCCTTTCATCTGGCTTACTATCCCTTGAGTTTCTGCATCATTATCAGCTCCTCCAAGAACTTTTTCCAGACTTCCCTCTTAGTGTTTCTACTGCACCCTCTATTTATCTCTACCTCTCTACATTCATTTGGGCTATCTGATCTTATAATTGCCTTTCCCTAACTCTTTCCCACATCATGTTCCATGAAAAAGAGATTGAGGATATTACAAACAGTAGAAATGGCTGAAAGTTTTTAACCATGGTACAAGTTTAGTAAAAAGAAATTACACTTAGAAAAAATTAAAATAATTCCTACAATCAACAATATTTAGAATTTTGCCAATAGCTTTTGGTTTACACAAGAATTGTATGAGGATGGCAGAATGATATTTAGGAAGACATGGGGCTTTGGAGTTAGTGGATCAGACTTCTCTAATCCAGGTTTTATCCCTTTGCTTCCTGTGGCCTCTTCATTATCACCAGTGATATTACTGGTGGGTCTCCTATACTGTCAGAATGAAGAGCTTCCTAAAAGTAAAAGGTTAACATGAATTTTTTTTTTTTTTTGAGACAGAGTCTCACTATGTCGCCCTCACAGTAGAGTGCTGAAGCATCACAGCTCACAGCAACCTCAAACTCTTGGCCTTAAGCAATTCTCTTGCCTCAGCCTCCCAAATAGCTGGGACTATAGGCACCCACCATGACCTGGCTATTTTTTGTTGCAGGTGTCATTGTTTTAGCTGGCCTGGGCAGGTTCAAACCTGCCTGCCTCGGTGTATGTGGCTGGTGCCATAACCACCGTGCTATGGGTGCCAAGCCAGGCTAATGTGAATTTTATAAGGGATTATTCCCAATCACAAAATGAGTATATCAACACAATTGTGCACATTTCATTATTATGTCCATGATATTCAGTTCTAAAGAGTAAATTCCATTATAACCTATCAGATTCACCTAAAACTATATTCCAAACATTGTGGGATTAAATCTAGTTAATTAACATATCCATCACTTCACATACTTATCAATTTTTGTGATAGGAGGTATGGAGTATCTTTTCATGTGTCTATCGGTCATTTCTCCAGAGAAATGTGTATGCAATCCTTTGCCCACTTTTCAATTGGGCTATCTTTTTATTATTAAGGTGTAGTAGTTAATTTTACTTACATATTTACATACATATTTAACATATTCTAGATATAAGTGCCATATGAAATACATAATTTATGAATATTTTCTCCTAGTCTTTTCACTTTCTCATGATATCTTTTGAAGTGCAAAAGTTTTAAATTTTCATTAAATCCAATGTGTTAGTTTCTCTCAGATTTTTGCTTTTAGTATCATATTGAACTATCACGGCTTAACTCAAGATCATGAAAATTTAGTCCTATGTTTTCTTTTAAGAGTTCTGTGGTTTTAATTCTTACAGTTAACTCTGTGATCCAGTTTGAGTTGATTTTTTTGTGTAGGTGTAAGAGAGGGTATTTTTTGTGTAGGTATTATTTCTAAGCAAATCCCAGATAATGATCCCAAGTAAGCAATTTTTGCCTCAGCCTCCCAAGTAGCTGGGACTACAGGTGCTATAAACACTTGAGTAAATATTTCAATATATATCTAAAAAAGAAGTATTCTTTTAAAACATAAACTCAATGCCATTATATGTGATTATGAAAATTTAACAATTCTTATTTTTTGAAGTTTTATTGAGATATAATTGACTAATAAAATTATACATAAAAATATAAAATTTATAATATACACAATATGTAAGGTGTACAATGTGATTATTTGATATATGTATATATTGCAAAATTACCATATAAGTTTAGTTAACACATATATCCCCTCACATAGTTATCTTTTACATATTTTTTTTGGTAGTAAGAACACTTAAGAACTATTTTTCTTAGCAAATTTCAAGTATATACATACAATACAGAATTTTTTTCTCATTTAAGAAGTTTCAGAATATTATGGGAGTACACATTTGGTTACACAGTTTGCTTTTGTATATTATAACTCAAAGTTATAAGTGTGCTCTTCACCTAGAAAGACGTGAATTTACCCATATCCTCCTCCATCTCCCACCTACTTGAATTTCCCTCAGTCTTTCTTCAATATGTTTTGATCACCTAGTTCTGATTTAGTATTGAGTATATGTGGTATTTGTTTTTCCATTTTATGCTACTTCACTTCGGAGAAGGGTCTCCAAGTCCATCTAGGTTGTCACAAAAGACACTAGGTCACCATTTTTTTATGGCTGCATGGTATTCCATGGTGTATATACTTGTACAACATTTTATTAATTCATTCATGTATTGATGGGTACTTGGATTGTTCCCACATCTTTGTGATTATGAACTGTGCTGCTATAAACACTTGAGTGTAAGTGACTTTATGATAAAATGACTTTTTTCCTTTGGGTTAATACCTTAGCAGTGGTATTGCTAGATCAAATGGTAGGTCTACTTTTAGGTCTTTGAGGTATCACCGTACCTCCTTTCCATAGAAGGTGTACTAGTTTGTAGTCCCATCAACAGTATAAAGAGTGTTCCTTTCTCTTCATGTGCTCACCAGTATCTGTTGCTTTGGGACTTTTTGATATGCACCATTCTCACTGGAGTTAGGTGATATTTCAATGTGCTTTTGATTTACATTTTCCTGATGATTAGAGATGTTGAACATTTTCTTATGTGCTTGTTGGCCATTAGTCCATTTTCATTTGAAAAGATTCTATTCGTGTCTTTTGTCCACTTTTTAATGAGGTTATTTGATACTTTCCTACTGATTGCTTGATTCTTTGTAGATTCTGTTTATCAGTCCTTTATCTGATGTATAACATGCAAATAATTTCTCCCATTCTATAGGCTATTTGCTATATTTTTCTTTTTTTTTTGAGACCGAGACACAAGCTGTTGCCCTGGGTAGTGTGCCATGACATCATAGCTCACAGCAACCTCCAACTACTGGCTTAAGCGATTTTTGCCTCAGCCTCCCAAGTAGCTGGGACTACAGGTGCCCGCCACAATGCCCGGCTATTTTTTGGTTACAGTTGTCATTGTTGTTTGGCAGGCTCCTGGCTGGATTCAAACTCACGAGCTCTGGTGTACATGGCTGGTGCCTTAGCCACTTGAGCTACAGGCGCCGAGCCTATTTGCTATATTGATTGTATCCTTGCTAATGCAGACACATTTTAGTTTGACTGAGTTCCATTTGTTTAATTTTTGTTGTTGCTGTGATTGTTTTTTGGGTCTTCTTTGTAAAGGAAGAATACAATATAGGCCAATATCTATAAGAGATTTCCAACATCTTCTTCCAGAATTCTTATGGTTTCATGTCCTAGGTTTAAGTCTGTTATCCATTGTGAATTAATTTTTGTGAGTGGTATGAGGTGCAGGTCCTATTTCAACTTTTTAAACATGGCTACCCAATTTTCCCCATTTATTGAATAGAGATTCATTCCCCCAGTGTATGTTTTTGTTTGTCAAAGATCAGATGGTAATATGAGGATTGTTTCATAACTAAGGTCTTGGTTCTGACCCATAAGTCTATGTCTCTATTTTTATGCCAGTAGCATTCTGTTTGGATTACTACCTTGGGCTTAAGTGATCCTCTTGCCTCAGCCTCCCAAGTAGCTGGGACTACAGGCACCTGCCACAGTGCTGGCTATTTTTTTTTTTTTTTTGAGACAGAG